ATCCCGTCTGGTGCTTGAACCAAACCCCCATCCCGAGGTCTCATGAAGACAATATCATACATCTTGTCAGACCATTCCCTCAACCGAGCGTCTTAGTCTTCTCCTTCTTCTCCTTCTGCCTCTCCATAACATTCAACACATCATCCGCATTATTCTTATCCCCCTTCCTCTTCTTGCCTCCCCTCTTCCTCACCTTCTTCGGTCCTTTACCCCCGTCTTCACCATCCTCATCGTCGCCTTCGGCACCCAATCCCTTCCACTGACTGAACTTGACTTTCTCGCCTTCCCGCTCCATCTCCTCCGCGTCATCGAATCGCGATGCTCCGAAACCCATGTCCATGTCTTCCATATCGCGATCTGTAGCCGCCAGCTCCGCAGCACGTTTCTTGAGTCGCGCTTCTTTCGATGCGGGGTCGTTGGGGTCGGTGGATCCGAGGTTTTGGAGGAGTGTGGAGTTTTCGTCCAGGTTGCGGACTTTGGCCAGCGCGGCGCGGACGGTGGCGTCGGCGGCGGAGAGGTCGGAGGGTTCGGCTGTGGAGGTTGAGCGGGCTGTGGTTGCGAAGTAGTCTCGTTTGGCGGGCGCGGCGGGCGCGGCGGGCGCGTTGTCTTTGGGTTTCGCTGGAACGTCTTCTTCTGCTTCTGAAGATACCTCCCCTTCTGATTGTGAACCCGCGGCATCGAGCTTAGGTGCAGTAGGCTCTGGCCTCGCTGTCTCTTCGTTCGATTCGTCATCCGAGTCGTCGAAGTTTGCGAGCGGGTTGTAGTTCGACCCGACTCCTGCGAATATGTCCTCGTCTTCTGACTCTTCCTTCTTCGGCTCAGGGAGGTTATGCATATTGATCGGCTTATTCACGTCGTCCAGATCATGACGCACTTCGGGCGCTGGCTCCTCGACCTTCTGCTTTTTGACCTTTCTCTTCTCTTTGCCATCTGGACCGGTGATGATCAGCACCTCACGACCCTTCTCGTCTGTCTCGATGCGTGTGTCTCCCTGGGCGTTGATCTTGCGAAAGCCTGGTCCTAATGTGGGAAACCTCTTCTCGTGCTCGGCCGCGGCGGCGGCGGCAGCCTCTTCTCGTTGCCTCTTGAGATCCTTCAGGATGTCGTTGCGACTCCTCTTGACGCCAGCGACAGGACGCGGTCCGGTCAGTTTCTCGCCCTTCTTCTCAGCCTTCTCGCGTGTAATGGGGCCGACATCCGCCTCTGCCAGCTCGTCGAACGCGTCTTCGACCTCTGGTACCTCTTCAGCCTCCTCCTCCTCTTTTTCTTCTTCTTCTTCTTTCTTGTCTAGGCCACCCAGAACATCCTCGCCTCGCCTCACTCTCTCGAGCAGCTTCCTGTCCAGGCCCTTCACTAAATGCGTGGTCCCGACATCACCACCCGTAATCTCTTGCACCAGCTTCTCGAACGTCTCGCGGTCGATATCGCCCTTCTTCATAGACTCCTCGAGGTTCTTGACGCGTTTGGCAATCTCATTGTCTTCCTCGTCGGTGTAAGCTTTCGTGCGGTCGGTGTAGCCTGCGGCGAGCCTCGTTCCTTTGGGCACTACGTTCCTGGCCTTCTTTTGTGGGTTGTTCTTCGCGTTGCGCTCGGCGAGTTGGCGCGCAAAATCTGATTGTATTGAGCCCTTGCCTACCTGGCGACTGCGTATCTGTTAGCATCAGTCCTGCGCGAGAAACTATAAGAAAGACTTACGGTGTCATTGGTATGCTCGAGTGCTTGCGCGCGCCCAGCACCGCCCTCGGCGTAGCCGCTGCAGGTGACTTGCCCTTGCCGTCATCCTGAGGTTTTGGTGTTTCGACTAGCAGCCGCCTGAATTGCGAGTTGTTCATGGTGCGCGAGTTGAGAGGTTGGTGGAGAGTCGTGATTCGCAAAAGATGTGCCAAGCCTCTGCAGGCGTCTCTGGGTCGCGCCTGCACCACGCGAGGCTACGCTAAAGAAGCGTGGCTGGTCCAACGCGGGGAACCTTGAGCGCTCAACACAACTCCAGCCTCGTCTACTACCGGATTCTATTGCGTCAGCACGATCACGATGGTAGATGTATGGACTTCTCGAGGCACGGACAATGCCTTGATTTGCATAGTCTTCAGTACCCTGCCGCTTCGGCTCTAGCTGGCTGTCTGTAAGGTTGCAGCGCGATCTTGCTTATGCAGGATCACAAGACTACTGTAGGGAAATGCTACCTGTTTCCCTGTACGAGAGTTACGCTATGCCGCCACAGTAAAACGATCGTGCATAGCCCGAAAGGTTCTGTATCTTCCCCATTTCACTTGCTAGGCACCCTGCGATCCCCACCACCCCGCTTCCTCTCCGCATAAGTACCTGAACAGCCGGGTAAATTGTTGAACTCACCTCCTACGCCTCCCTTCCCCGGTATCTGTGAAATTGTAACGGCAACATGTTCAAGCTTCTGGTTGCTGCGGCTCTTGCTGCGGTGGGCGCGTCCCAGTACGCCATGCCCAACGTGACCAATTCGACTACATTCATGAACCCGATCGTGGGCGCTGGCGCAGACCCGTAAGTCAATCCCTCCAAATTATGTTACTATCCGTCTGAACACCATCTAGCTGGATGTTCCGCCACGAGGACTACTACTACATGACCTACACCAACAACGTCAACATCACCCTCTGGCGCAGCAAGTCCCTGACCTCCTGGGACGCCGCAGAATCCAAGACCATCTTCGTCCCCGAGCCCGACCAGGCCTACTCCACCGATCTCTGGGCGCCCGAAATCCACCAAATCGACGGAAGCTGGTGGGTAATCTTCACCGCAGACCCCAACTTCGACTCCCCACCACCCGAGGTAGAGATGTGGTGCGAGTACAACTGCCCCGCCGTCAATCACCGCATGTTCACCGTTGTCGGCGAAGGCGAAGACCCCTGGACCGCCGAGTACCGCTACCACAGCGAACTCGAGACGTACGATCAATTCGCCATCGACGGAACCTACTTTCAGCACGCCGACCAATTGTACCACATCTACTCATGCTGGTACCACAAGTACGACGGCTGGCCAGCAAACCTCTGCATCACCAAGATGTCCGACCCTTCCACTACCGTCTCCCCCTTCTCCGAGCGCCAAATCATTTCCGTCCCAGAGTACGCCTGGGAAAAGACACCCTTCGGCCGCTCCATCAACGACCGCCTCTCCTCCAACGAAGGCCCCCAACAACTCACCAACCCCACCACCGGCCAAAACTTCCTCATCTACAGCGCCGCCCGCTCAGACAACCGCAACTACTGTCTCGGTCAGCTCGAGCTCGTTGGCGACGACCCGATGAACCCTAGCGACTGGCGCAAGCATCCTTACCCCGTCTTCTACCAGAACCCTAGCGAGAAGGCGTACGGTGTTGGTCATGCGTCTTTTACGACGTCGCCGGATGGGTCTGAGGATTGGATCGTTTACCATGGTATGCAGGATCCGACGAATGGGTGGAGTGCGAGGTCGATTCGTGCGCAGAAGTTTGGCTGGAATGAGGATGGGAGTCCGGACTTTCCTAAGCCGGGGTATGGGCCGTATCAGGTTCCTAGTGGGCAGTAGAGGGGTTGTTGAGGTGGTGTCTGGGTTTTCGGGATGACGGCGGGGCTGTGAAGCTTCTAATGCTTTGCGGCTGGTTTACTTGTATCTTCTGAACGGCGGCGACCGGCTGTGTCGGTACGGTTGTGAAGAGAGCCGCTTCTGCCCTGTCTCTTACATACAGACCTTGGATAGTACCTAGGTATCTGGACCTCTCCGGATATATATTGCCAGCTTAATGATAACCTTGGAACGATCATGATGAACTTGACCGACCATTGTTGAGACTTTATCTCTTGTGTGATACCCTGCGTCGTGTAGATGAATCGAATATCCAATATTGAGGTTCGTAGCGATTTCAGCGTGTTCTGTGTCCCTTATGTGACGTGGTGGCATACTGTGGACCTGCGCGCCTTTCGTACACGTTCGGCGCGGCTTCCACCGACCATGTCTGCCATCCGGAAGTATTGCGCAACCCACCATATCGCTCGGAAAGATGCGAAGGATAGATTCCCTGAAGCTCTTAGTGCTTTGGAACACATCATGATGTTCCGATATCATTTCATGACATCCGAGTTTGAGTTGTTGTGTGTATGATTCAGATTGTGCACAAAGCCTCGTAACATGTTTTTGGTATTTAGAACTCAACACGTAACATGTTCAAAAAATTACAACACAACCACATCTTTCTCAAATCACCTCAAACTTGGCACATCAACTGAGATGACACGTGCGAGCACTTCACGAGATTTTGAAATTATTTGGGCATCATCGTGGAAGTCTACGCGTTGGAGGTCTGCGGAAGCGTCTTTCCGGAGCAGTCAAACTACGCGTATATTCACAACCACACGACGCGCTTTAGATGCATAACGCGACATGGAAGCAAAAATGCAGTCACACGCACGTCAAGAATACGAAATGCTACATATCATTCACGTATCGAACTCCGCGTTGCATGGCCGCGGGTACGTATGGAAGACGTGACGTCATACGTCCAGCAGCTAAACTTCACAGCCGTCTTCACGCAGGTGGCAGTAAGCGCAAGCTATGAGTCATGCTACGACCGGTCAAACGGCACAGTCAATGAGTCACGAAACGTCCTGTTCATTGTGAACGTAAACGAGATGAAAGTCGGTCTGGCAAACTGTACATGACGCTAAATCACATACACACTAGCAGAACAAAAGGCGGAACAGCACACCGCGGAAGTGGAGCACACCAGCAATGACCACCGCGTTCACACAAAGTTCGCAGACGCGTCGCACATCACAGCAAAAGACAAGTAGATGAAGTTATTATGGTATCATTCCATGCAAATCAGAACCCGACTGATATAACCGTGAACTCCGAGCCTTCTTATACTATACAAGGCCATGACCATCCCACCAAGCACCGAAGAGGCGACCGTAGACTGCTGAAGAAGCCAGCCGGACAAAAGTCGTAACATTGAAAACCGTAAGAGCGAGAAGAAGACGACGCGCTTAACCACCGAAACCGTACAGAGTGCGGCCTTGACGCTTGAGAGCGTAGACAACGTCGAGGGAGGTGACGGTCTTGCGCTTGGCGTGCTCGGTGTATGTGACGGCGTCACGGATGACACCCTCGAGGAAGGTCTTGAGAACACCGCGGGTCTCCTCGTAGATCACTGAGGTGGGTTAGCGAGGTAGGCAAGGAAGGTGTGGAGGAGACATACTGGCTGAGATACGCTTGACACCGCCACGACGTGCGAGACGACGGATAGCGGGCTTGGTGATACCCTGGATGTTGTCGCGGAGAATCTTGCGGTGGCGCTTGGCACCACCCTTTCCGAGACCCTTGCCACCTTTGCCGCCTGGGAGACGCGTCAGTAAAGTGTTGATAGTAAAGGACAACGCGTTGAGCGCGCCGAACTGTGGAGGCGGTGGGAATACTCACGACCAGTCATGATGATAGATGTGGGGGGTTGTTGTGTTGGGGAGGTGGAGTTGTTGGTTGTAGAGTGAGAGAGTGGTAGTAGTGGATTGGATACTTTGGTGATGATGGGAATTAGTTGGGGCGGCGGGCGTCGTGTTTATGAGGCAGCGGGGCGCGTCGTCTTGCGCGCCGGATCACACGCCAGCCACGCCAGATCAAAGCCGCGCACGGGCGCGCTTTCCAGATCAACGCCCGTGCCCCTTCCCAATCGGGGCGCGCAGCAAGCGAGCCAATGGGGAATGCGCGCCGCGGTGTGGACTTGGTGGTTTTGAAGTTGCAGCGCGCGCAGGTTAGCATGCTTAGCATGGCTTTGGTGTTCCTGGTGCGCGCTGTGAGGGAGCGCAACAAAGATTGATTTTCCAGGCAGCCGCCCGCCCCATTTACCATATAAGCTGCGCCCGCCCACCCTCCTCCATCTCTCATCCACTCAACTCCACTCACCATCACAACAACCATCTACCACATCCACATCTCCATCTCCATCCCACTACAACAACATGGCCCGCACTAAGCAGACCGCCCGCAAGTAAGCTTCGCCGCATCAACTCTACAATAACTATCTTACTAACAATCTCTCAGGTCCACTGGTGGCAAAGCCCCCCGCAAGCAGTTAGTCTAGCCTCAGCTCTACTTCGCACCTCATCGCAGCATACTAACTTCACTTCAAGGCTCGCATCCAAGGCAGCTCGCAAGTCCGCACCCGTCAGTACCATCATCATCTCATCATGCGATGCATCTCTCTAACATCCTCTTAGTCAACCGGTGGTGTCAAGAAGCCTCACCGCTACAAGCCCGGAACCGTCGCTCTCCGTGAGATCCGTCGCTACCAGAAGTCGACTGAGCTCCTCATCCGCAAGCTCCCCTTCCAGCGTCTTGTCCGTGAGATCGCTCAGGACTTCAAGTCGGATCTCCGCTTCCAGTCCTCTGCCATCGGCGCCCTCCAGGAGTCCGTCGAGGCCTACCTCGTCTCGCTCTTCGAGGACACCAACCTCTGCGCCATCCACGCCAAGCGTGTCACCATCCAGAGCAAGGACATCCAGCTCGCCCGCCGCCTCCGTGGTGAGCGCGGTTAAGCTTCTCACCTTCGATATATCGACACGACTATGACAACTTCTTCGGGTCGGTGATGGATTGGGTCTTTGGGTCGGATATTTAGGCGTTTGGGTTCATGGTTCACGGTCTTCAACTCGGTTTATGAGTGCACACGAGCGGTGCTGAGCATGTAGTATATCCAGGTTAATCAGTGATGGTCACTGGCGATATTCCACGAAATCAACAGATTTCTACTTCATTCTATCTTCATCTTTGATTGTGATGCTTGCTTTGACTTTCAGTGTATCGCCAACTCCTCTTCGCCCCGCTCTTTGGTGTTCATGCCATTGCGCTATCTCGACTGGTCGCGATGCGGCTCTCACCCCGCAACATGACGCCCATCGCAGCTACTAACTCGACCAGCACGACGCAGCACCTCGGCGAACGGTACACTAACAACTGAGACTACTATCATGCCTTCCCGTGAATGCTGCGCAGTTGCGCATCTACACCCAACACATACCTCTTCACGATGACCTGGCAAACCGAATTCTGGTCATGGATGTCGCCACCCACAGTGCAGACCGCTGAAGTCCCAGCCGTCGGCCAAAAGGCGCCCTCAACGCCCAAACTCACCATACCAGCACAAGATGGCAAGCCGACAATCGTCACCTTCCTCCGGCACTGCGGATGTCCTTGTACGTACACTATTCAAAAACCATGACGATGCAATCTCACCAACACCACCACAGTCGCAGAAAAAACCTTCCTAAACATGCGCGCCCTCGCGCCCGCTCACCCAGACATCCATTTCATAGCCGTTTCGCACAGCGACCAGGCGGCTACGGACCGCTGGCTCGCATCGTTGCCTGAACCGGAGAAGAACTCCCAATCTAACCTCAGCATCATCGTTGATGCAGAACGTGAAGCATATGCTGCGTGGGGTCTAGGCACATCCAGTCTGTGGCATGTGCTGGGTAGTATACCTGGTACGAGCAAGTTGAGCAAAGAAGGGATCAGTGTGAGGCCGACGGAGAGTGGGAGTCGGTGGCAGACGGCGGGCAATTTTGGGGTTGATGCAGAGGGGACTGTGAGATGGAGTAGGGTTGATGGGAGGGCGGATGATATGCCGGATTTTAAGGAGGGGGTGGATAAGGTGATAGGCGGCAAGTTTGAGACGGGGGGATTTGCTGAGGCTATGCAGGGTTGATGGGGGGTGTGGTTGTTTTGATGTGATTGTGTAGATTGTATGTGATGCTTGTAGTTGGTATTATGGTTGTGCGGTTCTCGCGTTTTGCGTTGTGAAGACGCGGATTATGTGTCGCATTTGAGGCACGAGATGACCGTGAAGCACAACGCGTTCTTGTATCCTTCTCGCGACCATGTGAAGAGTACACGCTCTATGGTCGTGATAAGATACCCGACTCCTTCTCATAACACGTATTCCTAAATTTCCTGTTCATGATGATCAAAGACAACCCCTCGATTGGCCCGCCCACCGATGACCTCACGATAACACGCGAAAACACGCCAACACTCGAAGCGCGTCAAAGTGTCGCCACGCACACAACAGACCCGCCGCGGCCAGATCATGGCATCATGGCTGCACCGTCCACACGGCTGACGACTCGCGCGAGCGAGTATGGCTCAGATATCGACATCCAGTCCATCGCGACGCTGAGCGACTACGGCTCGGACATTGACATTGACGACGACACCATACTCGCCGACGCCTTTGACACGATAACAGACGCTGCGCAAACCCAGAAGAGCGCAGTCCTCCCCAGCATAGAATTCGAAGAGGGCGAACTCGAAGACGAAGAGCAGGATGTGGACGGCTTCGTGCAGATTCATAGACCCACGGTCCTGCGCGTTGCAAAGGGCAAGGCCAGTGTCGACGCGGATGCACAGAGGGATATACAGAGCTCGCCCATGCGAGAGCGCAAGGCGCTGGAAGTCGAGTACGACGAACGATCGCGACGGGCGTGGAGTGGTGCGTTGATCAAGACTCGCAGCAGTGGCATTGGCATTGGCATGACTGACGACTAACAGCGCTTAGTTCCTCACGAACAATCAGCCTCTCCCCCCAGACCCTCGCAGTTCCGATCTGATCGCAGCATATCGCAGTCTACGCGCGCCGCCTCTACCACACAGGCCGTACAGGCTGCCGAAACCGATAACCGGCCGCCCATCGAGCGTTTCCGGACGAAGCCCAAGAAGTGTCTTTCGGTGACCGATCTCGTCTCACCAGCATGGTGCGAACTGCAGTACTTTTACACGTTGAGCAAGTTTGGCCGCAAACCACGAACGCAGGCGATGAAGACCGGTAGCAAGATTCACCAAACGCTGGAAGACCAGGTTCACACAACAGTGCCAGTGCAGGTCGAGAGCAAAGAAGACCGATTCGGCCTACGCATGTGGAACGCTATATCTGGCCTGCGCTGTCTCCGCGAGACTGGCCTTACGCGTGAACTGGAAGTTTGGGGCGTGCTCGAAGGCCAAGTCATCAACGGCGTCATCGACGAGATCTCCTACGAATGTCCCGACCCAGAATTCGAAGAGGAGCTCGAGCGAACCCGCGCCGAGAAAAATGGCGGCATCGTCCCCTTACCACCAGGCCAACTCAGCATCACAGACGCCTTTGCAAAAGCCAGCAAACCGCCCTCCTCCAGCCCACTAGTCTCCACACCCCCCTCCGACCGCCAAATCTACATCGCAGACGTAAAAACCAGATCCGCAAAATCCCTCCCGACCGGCGCGTCTCTCCGCCCTACCTGGATGCAATTAATGCTCTACCGCAAACTCCTCGAATCCCTCTCCCTCAACACCGTCGATGCCGAAACCGTCTTCGCCCGCTACTCCCTCGACCCCCTCACCCCCTTCACCCCGCTCTTCCTCTCCGAAATCAGCAACATCGGCCCCGAAACCTCTGTCTCCTCCTACCCCAACCTGCTCGCCCTCTGGTCCCTGCTCGTCACCGAAATGCAAGCCACATTCCCTCCCTCCAGCCTCTCGCCCATCCTGCGCGCGGAGTTTAGGTATGCGAAGACGGGGGATGTGTTGGGCAGCCGGCTTACGGTGTATGAAGCGAGTGTTGTTGATGGGTATGTGGCGAGCGAGATGGATTGGTGGAAGGGGAGGAGGGAAGCGAGGGGAGTGGAGATTGAAGAGGCGTTTAAGTGTCGGATTTGTGATTTTAGTGACGAGTGTAGTTGGCGGAAGACGAAGGTTGAGGAGGCGGTGGAGAAGAGTCGGTTGAGGAGGGAGGCGGAGGCGAAGGAGAGGGGGAAGAGTGCTGTTTAGGGGGTGGGTGGAGAGGGATGTTGTTGGTGGCGGTGTGCGATATGGTTATTGTTCGTTTTCGTGATGATGTACCACCTCAGTTTTGGAAGAAACTGAAAAAAGTGCTTCGTAGACTACATTATCATTATTAAACCGGAATTCAGCAAAATCTCAACGCAACGTAGGCTTTGAAGTTGTCTTCACTTCTATCCTCTGTAGGCGGAATGTTCATTCTTTACGTCAAACAAGGTGCTGCAATCATCTTATCGTATGCCGCTGTTGATCAATATGCACGAACGCGCTACTTCACATATCTTCTATCTCTTTTTACACTTTCTTCTGTGATTACACAAGCTCCATCTCGATAGTTTCATACTTGGAGAGCATAGCTTCCCACTATTGTCAACTCGCAGAGAGTGTAGCCGAGGCAGAAGTCTCACCAGTTGAAGTTTCTATGAAAGCTGACCCGTGATGCAAATCGCCAAAGGACGTTTCGTGTCGACGTGAATTTTGCTAGTCTTCCAATCGAAAGAGTATGGCACCACAAATGTGCCAACGGCATCTTCTCACGGAAGTGTCTCCCGCGTTTATTTATATGTGGCTGGACGAATACAATGGTGTATGTTGGCTGGCTTTATCACTGATAACATTATTTGAGCGCCGACATCTATGGCGGTAATGTAACTTTTGACAACGGAACGCTATCGTATGCCACAGGCACTTCCGAATCCTGATGCTGTAAAAGCGTGACTCCATCAAGAGCGTCTGAGTATCCTAGTGCCGAAGGTAGATTAGCTTGTCTACCCAAGACCACCAAGAACTACGTTAGATAGCGATCAATAAATAAGCTGAGCTGTTAGTAATCTTTCCGCCTCAACTCAGCCCGAAAACACCATCATGCTGTTCGCATCCTAATCAAAGCATCCCAGAACATTATCAACCAATACACCTAGCCACCCTCACCCACTCCCCATCCCGCCTCAGACATTCTAAATCCTCCTCTCGCAAACACATCGCAACAGCCACACTCCCATCCCTACTCTTCGGCATCAAATACATCAGTCCCTCTACAGGCACAAAGCCCGGTCTGCGGACAGCAACCGCAGGACCCAGCCCGAGTCCAAAATCCCACTCATAAGCCGGTACTTTGGTCCACGAGCTAAGCGCAATATCCACGCTCATATCGAGGGTAGCTGTCGGACTAGTTTTCGCTGCATTGGCTGGTGATTGGGCGAGGAACGTGGCGAGAGAGCGTGTTCGCCGTGCGAGGTCTGAGGTTTTGGGGTCGATGGATTGGCGCATGGTGGCGGCGATGTGGCCGAGAGGAGTGGAGAGGAGGGTGGATAGTGTGTAGGTGGTGTATGTCATGTTTTGGAGTATGCCGGGGTAGTCGGGGTGGATGTTTAGGTAGCGTCTGGCATCCACAGCTCGTGCGAAGGTCGTTGATATGTTAGGGGGTAGGCGTGTTTGTCTTGCGCGTAGAACGGAGAGGAAGATGAAAGCGGAGAGGGCGTCGTCGGTTGATATGAAGCTGGTGGAGTCTTGGGGAAGTGTGGTTGTTGCGAGGTGCTTTAGTGACTTTAAGGACGATGCTGAGAAGTCGAAGTACATCCAGCTGCAGTTGACAGGTGCTCCAGTAACCGTTGACTCGGCGGTATCTAGCTCTTTGACAACCGTGGGAGCTGGAGGAAAAAGCTGGTTCTGCAGTTCCATTCCAGGGTCCCAGCCCTCATCCTCGATAAGCGGTACAACACCCGTTCTTACCATATTACCTACCTTGAGCTCCTCTTCAGTGAACTCCTCACCTCGACATGCCTTGGACAACCAGCCTATCACAGCCGCCTGTCCCATCATATCGCACACATTATGTTGCAAATTAACACAAAGCACCATACCACCACGGATATAACTGATCTGCACAAGCATCACCGGAGCAGGTCGATCATCCTTCCCAGACGCTTCCCTCGGATCAAACCCCAAAGCAGCGAGCGTAGGACACGGCGCCCAAACCCGCTCACCCAACATCTTCATCGGGAAACCCGCATCTATGATCTGCGACGCGCTGGGTATCTCCGCATCGGAAGTATAATCTCGTACGATACATTGCGGCACCGGTTCGTACGGCCGGATCCTGTAAAGGGGCGCGGCCTTGGATTCGGAATCGGAGTGATGAGAATTTGCGTGGACGTTGACGACCTGACCAGCAACCCACGGGAAAGTCTTTGCTAGCTCTGCCAATCCGGTGGTGATGATCGCAGTAATCCCATCCCGTGACGCTGGTACCAGCCCCTCCGACAGCGGAAAGAACAAGGCAAGTTGGGTATAAAGCTTGAACAGAGCGGGCTGGGCACCCATCAGGTCGATATCCATATCCAAATCCGGAAGCGTCATGTTCGGCAACTAGGATACGTGCGGTGATCCTTTGAACAGCATGTCAGTTCCAACGATGGCGTGATGGGATTTGGACGGGCAACTGTATAGTAGTGACATTCTGGGCTTACGCGTATGGTTTGTTGCTGGTAATGAGGTGCGTTTCCTGGACCCCGCAGTGGTTGACTGACTGAACTGACAGGTACGAAGCGTCCCGCCTTCTGAAACTGCAAACGCGTCAAGGCCTGACGCAAAATTGACCGCAGTTCCTCCTGCTCGTCTCTTGCGTGAGGTCTGGACTCGCTGATGGTGTGCAAGATAGATGGGATTATCCTAAGCAGCGTTGGTAGCGGTTTACTTTGTACACAAGAACAAGTGCACAAACGGCGTAAACTCATCATGACTCATTCTGATGCTGTGAGACGTTGCTCAAAGTATCGTGAGATGAATCAAGATCAGCTTTGAAGGGCCGCCGTAGCGATGGTATCTTGTGAACTCCATCCCACAAAGCACAACATCCACCTCTCGAACGTATATGCATCAAAGGGCCGCCTGGTTATCGTCGCAACAGCCAGCCAGTGCACATGGGTGAAGTCCCATCGCTAGCCTTGCCGTCTCGGGGGACTTGCAGGGCACTTTGATGACCCGCAGTATGCAATGCTGCCCAACTTGACAGGAGAATGCCAGAAACGCCCCTCTCCTTTTCCCACCAACACGTCGAGGGAAGAAGAGGTCAGAAAAAGGACTGCCAACAATAGACTCTGCCCGCATGCAGGCAAATTCACGGTGGCGAAAATTTCTCTCGTTCGTTCGCAGTCGATATGCACGGCGCCTGGGTGTACCTGGAGCTACCAGCTGCACTCGCCGCCTGTACGTGCTGGGATATCGCCAACGTTGGCCCGCTGCCGCAACGCACGCACGCACGAAACAGCAGGGGAGGCAAGGGATTGTCTCTCCCCCTCCCTCGTTACTGCACGAGCAAAAGTCTCCGTTTGCCGCTCTCGTCTCCAGCTGCATTGTGCTTTGATTCATTTGTCGATGGAGGAAGTAGAGCGATTGGCTGGTTTGCCATTAATTCAAATACAAAATCCCCGCTTGTCGCTCGCGTGGGAAGGGCTGGCTCTCGGGGTTCCACATGTCCTCAGTGCCGGAGTCGGGTCGGTTGCTTTGTGGGGAAGACGTACCGGAACATCGGAGACACACTATCCGGGACGAAAAGATGAAGATCACACATGTGAAGAATCAAGGCAGGAGGAGCAGGAGGAGTAGTCATGTACCAAAAAACATAGACGTTTAATTCGAAAGGTATCTCGGGGGGCGTTATAGAAGAATGTGTGACCCAAACTGAACCCATGACTTTTCCGTCCTTATTCCAGGTTTTGAGATTTCCAAATATGCCATGCGCTGCTGACAATAAACACATGCTACCACAGTACCCGTCTTCCAGATTGTCGACATGTTGTTGCCTTCTTTTCGCAACCCGCCAGCCCTAGCCCACTTAATCAATTCAGCCGTACAGTGTCATGCAAGATCTCAGTTGCTGCGCAGATCTCGGTCGTTAAGGAAATAAGAATAGGCTAATGTTCGTAGTACTCCAGATACTCCATGGGTCTCATGCAAAACCAAAGTGAGACCATCGATGCAAACGCCGCTCATATGCCGACGCCTTGTTGAGTGCTTTCTATCAGTGATGTGGCACGACAGTGGGAGGTGTCGTAGCCCGTTATGGTGCAGTAAATCCAAATATGTATGTCGGAAGGCGTATCGGTCGCTGGACCGAGTGGATGTCGAGCCGGGAGCTCATAGAATGACGCACTTCGGTTTCTCTTTGCCGCGCTTGTTGCCGCCCGTCATGCCGGCACCCCGTGTGCGACGGTCACCGGCTCCTCTTGTGCGGTCCTTCTCGTGCAGGCCGGTACGTACGCGGGCTTCTTTCCTGTCTGTGGGGTTGCGTCCGCTGCCTTGTCGTTGCCGTCGGAGCTGTCTAACGACGTCGAAGAAGGCCTTTTCTACGTTGACGCAGTTTTTAGCGGATGCCTCGACAAAGTCGCAGCCGAGTTCTTTTGCGAGAGCTTGACCCTCTTGGGTGGAGACTTCACGCTCCGTGACACGGTCGCATTTGTTTCCGACGAGCATCACAGGGGCCTGGCCGAACATGGGAGCTGATGCGCTGATGGGCGAGCCGGGGTAGGTCGGTGAGCCAGCCATGGCCGTCTCTTTGACGCGCTGTATTTGGCTGTGGAATCGCTGTATGCGGGCGAAGGAGGAGCGTGATGAGATGCTGTAGACGAGTACGAAGCCCTCGCCGTCGCGTATCCATTGGTCCCGCAGGGCGATGTATTCTTCTTGGCCAGCCGTGTCGAGGACTTCGAGCATGCAGGACTGGCCGTCAATTTGCACCTGCTTGCGGTACGAGTCTTCAATGGTGGGGTCGTACGTCTCAACGAAGTGGTTCAAGCACAACTAGCCGCGGTCAGCCAATGTCAAGGGGATGGGGGAAACAGGAGGGCAGGGCTACCTGTATGGTCAGGGCGGTCTTTCCCACACCACCGTCGCCCAGCACCACCAGCTTGTACAGCGTCATTTTCCCCGCCATGGTGTCGGTAGGAGAGCAGAGTCGGCCTCGTCAATTCAATGCAGGCAGCGAGTCAAGGGCGGATGGGGCACAGATAAAGGACGGGGCGTGGTGCAAGCAGCTCGCCACGTCGTCGCAGTATCGTCTCGTGTACAGCAGCGGGATTGCAGCTGACCAGCGGGCTCAGCGGGTTCAGCCTAGGTTGGGAGCTGCGAGAGATCCAGAGGGGCGGGACGAAGGGGGCGGCGCGGCCAGAATGAGCGTCTCGATGTCGTGGTCCCAAACGGCGGTCCACACTCGCACGGCAGCACAGGGGCGCGTGTCGACGGGGAGCTGCAGGCGCTTCAGAATGGATCGGCTTGGGTGAGCACAATGGTTGCACGCAGACGTCTCGGCGGAAGCGAGGCCTGTGCAGCTGGGCCGACGCAGAAGGGGCGGCAGACGCGAGCGGGGAGCAGATGCGCGTTGGAGCAAGTCGAGTTGGGAGGTGGTCCGGTGGTGGTCGAGGGGATGGGAGAAAGTTGGGCGAGGCGTCTTGACGTGGTCAGGGTTCTCTGGGAGTGGCTCGTGTCCCCACGTGAAGATGTGGATTTGGAAGCGGGCGATGGACAAAGCGATCAGGGCTTCTAGGGTGCAAGCGTCCGAGTCCGGGGCATCACCTATCAGCAGCAGCGTCTACTATCGGGGCTCCGTTGCATGAGCGCGGGCGACGTGGGATGGGCAGGCAGCACGGAGGACGGGGGCAACGATAGCGGCGTGATGGATGAGGGAGGTCAAAAAGAAACGCGATTAGTCGACATGGGCCTCCGGGGTTTTTACGCTTCTGCGTCGAGTTGGCACCTTGGGCCTTGGGCGACGGCGCTGCAGCACTGGGGGCTGCCAAACGTCAATCCGCCTAGTCCTATCCAAGCCATCCAGACGAGAAACAGCCCAGGGCCTGCAGCCAGAAGCACTCAGGACCGCCTCGCCGACCCGGCCCCGTGGCTGGCTGCTGCGTGCCCATATAAGCCGACGACGCCGTGCCGCCCCAGGTCGTGGAAGCCTGGTCTCACTGTGTGCGCCCGTCACGTCCCAAGGTGGTGCCGTCACGACCAAACGGCCAGAAGAGCTGCCGTCGTCTCAGTGCGCAAGCGCAGGCGGCAGGCCCTAGGACATGCTAGGGCTGCAAACGGGGGCCCCCTTGGGGGTGCCATTGGGGAGAGAGGCACTACACATGCACCCTCGACTCTGTAGGAACAAGAAAGCCGCCGAGCGGCCTGCCCGCCAGCACGCTGACTCCCGGCTCCAGCCACACCAAGGAGTCCAGGACTCGCTCACCAAGGGCGGCCACCTCCATGACTCCAACGACTCCAACATGTGAATGCTGCTTCGACATTGCAGGACAGGTCGGCCACTTTTGCGCCAGGGTTTCAGTCGTCGTCCGGCGTGGGCTGCGAGGCATGGTGCTTCGGGGAACTGGACCCCAAGCCGCGACAGCGTGTAGCCGATAGTCGCTTGGCCCACTGTTGCGCTCCTGATATTCTGCCGAGCCGACGGGAGCACTGCACCAACAGACGTCGTCGCCGGCACGCCTCTGGCCATGAATGCGGGCGGCGGCCTGCTATCTCATGTCAGACGCCTGGCTGCGACGACTTCTGCCGGTAAGAAAGCTTGTGCAAAGCTGCAGACGACGCGGCGCGAGGCATAGCCTGACCAGACGCCCGACTAGCCAGTGCCAGCGCGACTGTGACGAGGCTCCGAGGTCACTGACTAGATGAGCGACCCAGGGAATGCCTTGATATGTGCGCTGATGAAGTGTCAAGCTCCCAGGTGGGCGGGAACATGGTAGCTCAGCACGAGCGTCATGTAGGTCAGCCCGGAGCCCAGTCCAGCGCCTGGGCCATGGCTCGCAGCAACGTGCAAGCACGTGTTTAGGTGGGGCCACCAACATGCGCTGTGACGGAGCCGGATCCCTTTTTGCCCTGCTTGAGTTGGACCTCGAGTACCTGTTGGTGATGGTGACGCGGCGTTGAGCGCTGGGGCGTTGACAATGATTTCTAACGATTCTAACGATTCCTGGGGACGGCCCGCTGCGACTCCGTTGATTCATCCGGCGGCGAGGCTGCGAATACGAGCTGCCGTTGGATCGTACAACGAACGTCATTACAAACGCTCTATATAACGAACTGATAAGATAATGCAGCAAGGTTGGCATATACGCGACAAGCGAAGTGAGCGGCAATTGAGGAAGGCACTGAACATGGAAGGAAGGCACGGGGGGAATCTTGACCACCAAACATAGGCAGGCACGATGGGAGAATCTTGACCAAACAAAAGGCACGATGGAAGACCACATATACCCTTGAAGCCCTACATATTATCACCACCCATCCCATTACATCTACAACTTCGCCCGCGCCTCCGTAGCCTTGTGCAAATCCTTGCCCTTAACCATAAAGTACTCCCG